GGTTTTACTGCTGATCTGTGGTGGGTGATCTGATTTGCTGGCGACTTTTTGTCATCGTGTTATCGGCCGTCAGCTGTGTGGCCTGGCTGCCTCGCCTTGATAACTGTTGTAAGAGATTAAACCTGCGATAATTTTTTTTTTGTCTGATGACGCTCAAAGAGGATTTGTAGGAAGAGATCGACAAAGGGCAGACACAGCTCGAAGCGGAATATTCTGGCAGGTGCTGTATATATCATATCATTATATATTTGTTTTTTCCTTGGCACTACAGCCCCAGTTGGCCTAGGCCTACCTCCATGAACTTCTCCGTTCACCATATCATTATATAGGTCCATATAATTAATATAAATCGTAAATATCAGTTCCCATCGCGCATACATTTCGTCCTGCTGTGGGAAGAAACTAGTTTACATTTATAAATATTCATGAACTAGAACTGAAGATGGAACAACTATTTTCGCGATAGGTGGCGTTCACATCATTTACCTAACATTATTTAATCTAATATTAGTAGGCCTACTATTACACGTTACTGGGATTGCCGGGATAGCACAGTCGGTATAGTGACTCGCTACGGGATGGACGACGGAGGGCCGGAGTTCGAGTCCCGGTAGGATCAAGAATTTCCTTTTCCGCACGTGGTCCAGATCTGCCCTGGGGGCCACCCAGCCTCATATCCAATGGGTACCGGGGGCCCTTTCCCCAGAGGTTAAGCGGCAGGAGCGTGAAGCTCACCACTAACCACCAGCATGTACCGAGGTCAAGATGTGGATCTATACATCCATTCCCACATATGCCTTCATGGCATAGTGCTTAATTACATGTAGTTAAGCACATCTTTACTTCTACTGTTACATATTTCGTTGTAGAATACTGCTGCAGTGTGTTGATATAGAGATACAACACATGGAAGAAAATCACATTAAGTAAATTGTTGAAACTGGTGGTCACTGTGTTCCTCATGTAAATATACATGATAAATGTGTAAATATAGATGATAAATGTTGTTAGGGCACATGCAACGTATGGCTTCTGTTGATGTGATGACTACTACATACTGAATTTCAGTGTGTGTTTAACAGTACTTAGTGAGCTGAAACAAAATATGTGTCATCATAGTCCTGAGCCTCTGTTTGAACATTATTTATTTACTAATTAAATGAGTTTCAAAACAAAGGACAGTTGTGATAAAAAAACATATATTATTTTGACTGGGATGGCATATACCTTGTAGACGTTAGATTGACTTTTTGTCCCCAGCTCTGTTTTTTTTTGGGGGGGGGTTATCTGGCTGTAAATTTTAACACAGTGAAAACAGAGTAAAATTCTTGTGCAGTTTGAGCAGGGGAAAACAGAAGTAATATAAATACTTCTGTTATGTGCTTTAATATTTCTGTCAGTAAGATATTAAATGAATTCATATTTTGTGTTCATTACCGGATCATAGTCATTAGATTTTCATATTATCAAAGATAATCTTATTTTATAAGGTGCTTGTCATTCTCTGACATTCATAAAGGAACCAGGATTCGAATGGAATACTTCTAACATTTGAAGCAGGAGAGAAACCAAAGGTTCTATACAAATACTAATTTTTATTTGTCTACTGTTCTGTATATTAATGCATTCCTTCTTTCTCCGTTTCTCCTCCTTCCTCCAACTCAAGCATTGAATTACCACATGCCCATTACAGTGTTTAGAAGTTTTAAAACTGATCTGCTCATGTCCCTCTATCCATTGGGAATATATGAATATACCAATTTGGTAGTTTACTATTTTGCATTCCTTAGGCACCAGCAGGATATTTTTATAGGATAGGGATGGGAGGAGTTTTCCAAGGGGCAGCAACCAGGAAACTTTTTACAAACCTGCATTTAACCCGATTAATACTGTTTTACTGATCACCTTAGAGTTCCAGGATATAAGAAGTACAGTTTAAAAATATTTTAAATTTCATTGACATTTTGCTTATTTCCATCTTTCATTATGTGCCCATGCTTGTGCCCTATTTATGTGTTTTTTTCCCCCCATTTTATCTCCATGTTGTTTCTTGTCTTTAAATAGAACTTGTATTAATACACATCTATATGTGAAATAAGTCTTCTTCACATGTGGTTTGTACAAAATTCTGACAAGATTTCTTTGGATTGGTATAATGTAAGCTACAGATCAGTCCATGAACCACCAGTTGAGAAAAAACTGTCATATCCACACATGTTATATTTTCTTAAGGCTACTAATAACATTCTAATACTTTAAAATATAATAGACTTCATGTTATACATCTGAACAAAGATATGCTCATTTTAAGTTCATAACAATATGACCGCTGGATAATAGATTGTAAAAACCAACTAAAGAATGAGCTCTACTAGCTGGATCATGCAGCTGCAAGACATGGATTATGGTTTTATAGGGTCTACGCTTCACCTATTTTGTTGCCCTTCTTTGACACTCCAGTCTTTTGAGCTAGATTTTTTTGTGACTTCCTAAGTGTATGTTAAAGTCTTGTTCTTATGTCATCTGAGTTTTCCTCAGTAAGTGCTTGGTGCTTATTATTTTTTCTTGTCTAACACTTTCTAGCAGATCCACATTTCACATAGTTGCTATATAGAACTGCACATTGATCTAAAGTATAACTCACCATGACGGAATACACTGCTCATTAACTGTAACCATGATCAAATGGCTAATGGAGCTGATAACTGCTGCCCACTGCTTACAAATCATAAACAAATGCCCATGAATGAAACACGCTGCTCGCCATGACATATAATGCTGTCCAGCAGTCCAAAAATATAATAACTTTTCTTAATTCCAAATGTTACCGGCCATTAGGCACACTGATTCACTGGCAAAATTCTTATTACTTATATATCTACTTATATATCAAATTGTTAATATTCAGAATTAACTTGACTTGTCATATATCATGTACAATGATCTACAGTGACGAAATAAATCAATCAATCAATCAATCTTATGAAGCTCACAGCCGGCGGTGCATGGTCAACAGTGGTAAGAACCTCCTTGTACATTTATAATGAATGAAGATTTTTGTAGAAGTTTAATCTGCTACAAAGATTAATTGAGAGTTATTAAAGGTGTGTCATAAAAGAAATAAGAAAATTCAAGGTTTCAGTAAAGAAGCCTTGGGCAAAGAAGTGGCAGCTTATATATCATATAATAATGTATTCTCTCATAAAAGAAACCTCTTCAATCAGAACATTATTGGAGTACAAGTGGATGCTATGAGTCTAAAAATTGCATCCACTGTTATAGAGATCACAACATGTGGCCACTGGTACTTACCCTTGTGGTGGCCACCACAGGTGCATATGGAGCTGAGGTATGCCCTGGCCTCAAAACGATGTATCTGCCTCCTCAGTGTATTAATGACAGAGATAAATGCCCCCAGAATAGCACACTGGAACCTGCATCCAAAGTCTGCAACATGTGTGATGGGTGCACAGCCTATATCCGTGAGTATGAGTTGATATTATTTAAGACTACACTTCAGCTGAAGAATGTTTTCTTCTGGACATTATTCTTGCCATTACCAATATCTTACATACTTAACTCTTTCTCTCATTGTGATATGGCATGGCATACTGTTGAGGCTGGAAATGAGGGCAGACAGAAATACTTACCATCTATTTAATTTTAAGGAACTAATGCCAGAGCCTTAAGATGTCATTATTGTTGTGCCTAGCAATGATATATACATGTAGAGGCACATTCACAGAGCACTTTCTTCATGATATATGTGACCATTTTCCTGAGCTGTTATTCTGATCTGGAGAATCTACCTAATTCTGAACAGTCATGTCCACCGATGCATACTAGTATGTGATGAAATCATTGAAGCTAGTATTGTCTAGATTAGTGTTTCTCATAATTCATAATTTTATTTACATCCATAACTGTAAAATATACAATTGGATAAAGTAAAAGGGAATATATAGATTTAATAACAATCACACCTAACATAATCAAAGAATACTTAAATANTACAATGTTGGGCATACAGATTATGTTTATGCTTTGTGTTGTAATTATGCACATCAGAGTTCAGAGTTGTATAGATTCTATTTTTTATGATAAAACATAAAATCTCCAGTATATACAAAGAAGTAACAGTTAAAATTTCTAACTCACCAAACAGCCTTCTGCAGGATGCCCGATTATCAACGCCCAAAATGGCTCTTATGCATTTTTTTGTACTTTAAAAACTATATCTATCTCTTTACCTCCACCACCCCAAAACATAATACCATACTTAAATATGGATTCAAATTTAGTAAAATATACATTTCTTAATACCTGTAAACTAACAGAATTACGTAAGGATTTGATCAGATATAGAGCCTTCTCAACAAGTGAGTTGCCCCAGTAGTGGAACTTCAAGGTTGGGTGGGATATTAGGCCTCAGAAATATCATCTACCATTTAATGATTAATATAACATTATAATCATATTACTGTAAAAATACACTTCCTGGGAAAAGATAACTTTTGTTTTTATTATGGTGGGACTATGCTTTCCGGCATAGAAACCAGTGGAATGCAAGAAGTAAGAGGCCAAGAATCACCGGTCTAGATTAAGTTACATGTGCACATGACAAAATTTACCCACACGCTGGGATCATATCTCACCTCGCACAACTTGTTCATATATTTCTTGTTTATCCTATGTTTCCTCTTAATGGCAGAGTCCATGGAATGGCCTGATCTTCAATTGAAGGGCTCTGTTGTATGTTTAAAACAATTATTGCCTCATAATTGGACCTAATACATGAACATGATGAAAGGGGCTAATTATAGTATAATCACTGTAGTCATTGTCATTACTACCACCATCTCCTACCTTTCTACTTCATTTCATTTCCAATTAAATCGCGTCATGATCACAGTCCTTCTTCTTTACTTTATAATCATTAGCCTCTTTCCAACTTCATTATTACAGTTTCTTTATACTTCATCATTATACTTCTCCATCACTTCATCATGAATATTATCTGTGCTTATAATTTAATTTTTCTGTTCCATTATCATAGTTTTTTCTTCCAACTTCTTTTTGTTTTTCTCTTTAACTCATCTGTTCCTTCATTCCCCACTTCACCATCAGTGTTTGTCTAGGCATTTTCATCATCATTCTCCTTCATATCTTTACTTTATTACAGAACACAATTCTCATTTTTCTCCTCATGGATCCCAATACATCACTATGTTCGCCTCTTCATCAACTTATACTGACTGATGTGGTGGTGTTTTGACAGAGAAAGATGGTGAATGTGAACCAACAAGTGGGATATCCTGCAAACCAGGATATGAATGTGATGAACAGGAACTTAAATGTGTGGCAAAGTGTAAGTACAGTGCCTATTTTACCAGTGAGAAACTTAAAAAGTTATACCACAGAAGTAGAAAAAATGTTCTCATGTTTAGATCTAAAGATTCTGAATATCAAAGAGCATCATTTTTAGAGGTATTATTTAAACCCTTGCTTACAAGTGTATCATGTTGTCTACTTTCTATACTCTAGAAACAAAAGTCATCCTTGTGCCTCTGTACAAAGTTCTATATGCAAGCAAAGGTAAAGTGTCATGCATTCTTAACCTCTAAAGTAGATGCATGTGATTGGTCACTTTCGTGTTTTGACAACTTTAATCCTGAAGATATAGTCTCAGGTACCCCCTGTACAGCAGGCTAGGAGGGCCACAAAACTGACCTGAACATGAAGGTCAAGAGTAAAATTCCTGCCCATGCTGAGGTTCATCTTCTATTGTTCAGCCCTTGGGAGCTGTCCCTGCCCATGCTATGAATTATATATCATTTATCAAAATTTAAATCACTAATATTGATTGGTGATTTGTGCACTATCTGTGTCAGTGGATAATTCTTCCACAGAAAATTGAAAACCTTTCCACAGCATATCATTTATAAGATAAACAGAAGTTTGAAATGGAAAAATTCCTGTGCCTATGTCAAAATACCGTCTAGGATAGTAAAATTGAGTATGCCAATTCTCTCATCTCCTTTGATTTATATATGCAATAGGATGTTATCTACAGGCACGTTTCCTGCACATTTAAAATTTTCTCAAGTTTTTCCGATATTTAAAAAAGGTAATAAAGTTGAGATATCTGCCTATAGACCAATATCCCTTTCAACATCTTTTTTCTAAAATCTTTGAGAAAGTTATTTATAATAGGCTGCTTCAACATACTGAAGAAAATAATATAATTGCCTCAGATCAATATGGGTTAAAAAATAACAGTTCATCGGAACTGGCTATATTTAACCCAACAAATCAAATTTTATCACAAATTAATAAGAAATCATCAGTTAGGGGAATTTTCTGTGACCTAACTAAAGCTTTTGATACTGTAAATCATGACATCCTAATAACTAAATAAGAGTATTATTGCATAGTAAGTAGATTTGGTGAATTAATTAAATCTTACTTAAGTAATAGGTATCCAAAGAGTAATAATTAAGTAGCTGTATGCTTCAAATTATGTTTCAGCCTGGGAATTAGTGAAACATGGAGTGCCCCAAGGGTTGATTCTCGGACCCTTGTTTTTATTTTATATAAATGATCTATCTAAATTAGTAAAAGGCAAAGCCTTACTGATACTCTTTGCAGATGATACTACCTTTATAACACCAAATTCTGATTCAGTGAAGATGAACCAAGTTGTTAAAGTAGTTCTGGAGATCACACAAAAATGGTTTAACTCAAATAGATTGCTATTAAATTATAATAAGACTAACTTTATGCAGTTCCTTCCAAATATTAGTCATCAGACTTTGGAGATCACTGAATTCAATACTTATAAAATTAACTCTACTAACGCCATTAAAATTTTAGGTATTATAATAGAATCTTCATTAACATGGAAAGAACATATTGATTATATAAATTCAAAGTTAAATTCCTTAGGCTACATAGTTCGTTCCTTCAGATCTGTATTAGCATTGAAAATCCTGAAACAGATCGATTTCTCCTATGTTCACTCAGTGTTAAATTATGGTATCATGTTTTGGGGTAATTCACCACATAGTAGATCTATTTTTATAACCCAGAAACGAATTGTAAGAATTATCATGAAAGCGAATACAAGGGATTCCTGTAGGGAAATGTTTAGTAAACTTAGAATTTGAACTCTTTACTCCCAATATATCTTTTCAACTCTTATGTTTGTTGTAAAGCATAAGGGGTTTTTTTTTTCCATAGTAAATACTGCCTTGCATAAAATAAATACCCGCCAAAAATTGGATTTTCATGTTCCTTTAGCAAGTCTAACTAAAGTTCAGAAAGGAGTATATTATTCTGGTATTATCTTATTTAACTCTCTACCCCCCAATATCAAGCAAGTTGCAAATGATATTAATAAATTTAAACATAAATTGAGAAAGTTTCTTACAGAAAACTCATTTTATTTAGTTGAAGAGTATCTTGATAGGAATAATAAATTTGATCTTGGGGTATCCCAGTAATTATAGCTTCGTATTTTAGTTGCATGCATTAGTTTATTATATATATTTTAATTTTTATTTATTCTATGTTAAGACAATCTTATGTAAATATCAATGTAATCTGCTGATAATTTCTATACCCAATGGTTATGTACCTGAATGGATCAATGAATACTAATAAATACAATACAGTACAATACAATGTCATCATATCTGTGTGACAGAGGGACAAATACATGTTTTCTAGTATTAAATATGAATACAAGGTTTCATGGTTTAACAATGGTGGAGATTCATATTATTGTCTTCTGGGTTATGACACAATGTAGTTCCTGTCATCCATTGTGGCTTGATAAGGTTGTGCTTGCACACAGAGGTAAATTTAATTTTCTACTCCAGTTGGGAATTGATGCCAAGGTTGAAAATGATCTTGCAATTCTAACACATAATGAGGAAAGATGAAACTGAAAAAGCAACTGGTAACTGCTCTTGGTTTTAGAATTACCTATCAACTTTCTAATTCCTACCATTTACCCAATATTAAACACTCAATACTTGCAGTACAGTGTTTTTCATTATGAATAATATTTGGTTTCAGATGCTCACCCTTTTATGGAATGCTGAATTTCTCTAGTACTGCAATGTACATTATTCCAAGTGCCACATTCACTGTGTCTGTTGAGATTACTGCTCCCCCTCTAATTTTTTACTTTGTTCCCTACCAGTCACTCCATTGGTGTCACAATTTCCTTTACTGTTACTTTTATTAATTGCTTTTACAAAATGATGCAGATTCTTAAATAACCTCTAACTGCCATCTGTAAGTCGGTTTTGTTGCCAGCCTGCTCCTGCCAGTATAAAGCAGATAACAGCTACTACAAGTCCTGGACTCCAAGATGTGATGGATTTGACTATGCGCCTGTACAATGCAAAGGGGAAAAACCCACGGGCAGGTAGAAACATACCATACATTATAATCTGAAATTGCAATGGGGGGAAGCCATAGCAATGATGTAAAGCTTAATGCTTATGGCACATACATAACAACTTTTCATCTACTGGCCTGTATAAAATATAAATTATGTTACAAGGAAGAGAAGAGGAAATTAGTAATCATTGAATATATAGAACTACTTTGAGCAAATGTTCATATTACTACTGTTTCATTCATTTTGAAGGCTAAACAGATATTCTCAAATGCCATAATTATCCTATAGGCACACTTTCTTGGTATACTCATATGCATTCACTGAGAAATTGTAATGTAGCAATGTTAATTTGGATCTCTTTCTTTTGACAAAGAAGAAAATATATGAATATTAGCAACTAGTACCGCATTAGAGTTAGTGGTTATCTCCTTGAAATTTAAGCATATCGAAGTACAAAATTTGCATGTGTCATTATTGTAGGTGCTTCTGTTTTGACAAGAAAGGGAACAGAATATTTGGAGAACAACTGTGGGCTAATGCTGAAAACATGACATGTGGTAAGTGTGTGCTGATCCATCATCCTAATAGACATTATAATAAGTTAAATCAAAACTATAAGAAATTTGGACACCAGCTTTAAGACTAATAACATATCTGTGTAGGGTGCAAATAAGCTCAGAAGTGTTTTTAAAAAACATGTGAATCATATGTGTGTCACAGCCTGCAGTCGCCAAGTGCAAGAATTGCAGGATCAAGGTCGGAAGGACGTGACATTGCATTGTAATGAACAAGGTAACTATGAGGAGCTGCAGTGTGATGATGGGTTGTGCTGGTGTGCAGAGGAAAAGACGGGAAAACCAATTTCACAAATTCTACCCGAGAATATGATGATAATGCTGCCCTGCTGTGAGTATTGATAGTTCTACTTTTTATTGATGTAAAAGTATGGCAATAATCTATAAGTTATTTTTGAATAAGACAAAAGTGATCAAATGTACTGAGTACCATCCTTTTCTCAATGGCATGATATGTTCTCAAGCTGTTGCTGGAGCAGATGGCTCCAAATAAGGACAGTAGCTGTAGACATATTGAGTAAGCAGCTGTGGACAGCAAACAACCTGTGATCCTTCATGGACTGGGCTGGAGGCTAACAACCCCATCATGATAGAAAATTAGCATGTTATGAAATGTTACATGAGACCTCAGTCTGGATGGGCTCTAGTGAACATGGTGATTAACCTATGAGTCCCACAAACTGTGGGTAATTTCTTGACTAGCTAGGCAGCTATTAGATTTTGAAAAACAGTGTTCCAAAGAGATGATTATTTAGAGGATCAGTCTGGTGTATTACACTTCAGTTTCAACATATACAGATTATCTTATCATTTCAAATATCTCTGTCTCAGTAAAATGTCAGGGGTCCTTACAATTATTCTGTAGTTTATTTTACTCGTATGGTGGTTTAACAATACTTACGCAAGCTTTTCCAACATAGAACACATCTAGGCATTGTAAGATGTGATCCCAGGAGTTGACAGGATTAGTACTGTGATACTGATATTTAACTAATTACATGGAACAGTCATTTCAAGAAGCTGGTAGCTGTTATGGAATCTGAAAGTTCATTACAGTAATCATAAGGGTCCACCAATGGATCCAGTCCTGTGGCAACTGATTCCAGTCTACACCCTCTCAGGCTGTTATTTAATTTAATTTAATTTATTGATACTTCAAGTAATTCATACAGGTGATAACAAGTCACCGCAGATACAGACGTAGTCCATTATTAAAAATGAGTACAATAGTAGCAGTTATAACACACAACCTTGTCAATAAATAACACTATGTAATCAAGGACACTATTTGTATCAATCACAACAATATTTCATATACAAATAATATACTAAAACATACTAAAACAAAAATAATATACAAAGGAATAACACAGCTGTAAATAGGTAATACAAAAAACAATTACACTATGTATGATCCATCATTATGCTGACCATTCAAGGTATTCTTTTACTGAATAAAAGGATTCCTTTAAGAAAAAGTTTTTAGTAATTAATTTGAATTTTTAACATCATATAACAGTTCCCTTATACGAGTATCACATGGTAAATGATTAAAAATTTCTATACTCATATAATAGGCACCCTTTTTGGATTTGGTCAAATTTACCGATGGTATGTGTAAATTAGTACTTTGTCATGTATTTATAGTATATATTTCATTATTAATTACAATTGGTGTATATTTTTTACTACAAATTGAACCGTGCAACGGTTCTTCTCCGTGAAGTTCCTTGGAGTCCA